TTCATCTAATCCTTCTGTACTCCTCTATAACTTCATTATGATTGTTTTGCTTTGGCACCATGCTTGTTCTCAAGTCGGTGTAAGATAGATAGATATAGATAGCATTTTCCAAATCGGACTTTAGGTTTTCTTATGTGTTATTAACAGTCGTCAGTAATGGGAGTGGTTTATTTTTACTTAGAGGATGAATTTTGTCTGAAAAGTGGGATATCCACTGCAAATAGTAGACAAAAACACCGATGACTCGTCGAAGGGATTTTGCATTCGTCAGAGGGGGCTTATCGCGTAACGGTTTCATTCGGTCGGGGTCTGGTTTGATTACATCCTGGGATGTGCGGTAACCAAGCAGATCGATTTCTGTAGCGGAAGTGACTGTTTTATCAGTGTTTAATGTTATGCCGTACTTAACGGCAGTCTTCAGAAAGCGTTCGAGATTCCGGTCGTGGTCTTCCATAGTCATCTCACGTACGGTGACGTTGTCGACGTAGGCAAAAGTATCCTTTAGCCCTTCGGTTGCTAGAATTTCATCGATGGTGTGTTGGAAACACGTAACGCCATTGGTAACGCCGAATGTTATTCGGTTCAACCATTTTGTCAATTCTGGGTAACGGATAGGCATCTAGCTGGGTGGAGCGGTTGATCATGACTGTAATCCACGACCATCTTGGGATTAGAATTTCTAGTCACAAGGACTTGAGCTCTCCAGGGGGAATTAGATGGCTCAATGATACCATCTGCCACGAGTCATTGCATTTCTGCTTTGATTAAACGCCTATCCTCTGTGGAATGTCTTCGAGACCTGGTAGCGATGGGTACGCAAACAACAGTGGTGATCGAATTTTAGCAGCACTGAGTCTGCACAACATGTACCACGATCACCACCGATTGATAGTTCCACCTTTTCGTGTAGACCGAGAAAGTCGTGACCAAGAAGGACGTCAACGCACAGGTTACGCATTACAGAAAGTCTAACGTTATTGTATTGAGCTCCACGGTAACGAATTGTTACGGTACAGTAACTGGTCACATCATAATACAGGGATATGGATGCCATGATAATTCAAGAGTCGCGTCGTTGGATCTCCAACCTGTGGGAGTTGACAGCTGTCTGGGAGGTGTAACTTTTAGAGCTGCCAGTGTCTACTAAGGC